AAAATTGGTGTGACTGCTTCAATTTCCCTTCACTTCATGGCTTCATTTGTTTTGGAGCCTGTCTCTGGAAGGCCACTCTACATATTGCTTATCTAGGCTGGCAGTGATCAGTCTGTGCATTACTCAAGGAGCATATATAGGAAGAAGGTGGTTGTAGAGAGAGGAAGCTGTTCTTGTGCAGTTTAAATTCAATTTAGCACTTGAACTTCTTCCCACTTGTCTCCTTGGATCTCATCATTTTTCTGGCTCTGCACTTTAATTTTTTCTTTCCAAGTACAAGACAGACGTCAGCCTTCCTGGCTGATAGGAATGCCACGCCTAGGAGAAAAATCTCTGCTATAACAACCTCTATGACAACACAAAGACCTTCAGATAAACCAGAGATACATCTTAATGCTTGCAAAGATACTCCTCTGTCTCAGAAAAAGAGAAATTGAGATGTGGACTGTCATCTTGCCTTCCCCTGTGGTGGGGAAACACCAGGCAGGGACTCCAAGGTGTGAAGAAATCTCAGCCTGGCCTAGAGCCATCATAAAATCACTTAGGTTGGAAAAGACCTTTACAGGCAGGGTTTCAGTAGGTGTTAAACTGCTGGGCAGTGCCAGCCTCTTCCCACTCCATGCACCATAGATATCACAAAGATTCTCCCAGCCCCAAAGACCTTCATCCAGGTCAGGGCTGTTTTATAGAAAAATAGATCTTCACTGGGAAATTGGTTCGTATTTGATTGGGGTTTTTCAATTAAGGAAATAAGCTGCTGTTACCACTTTTTCCTTTCATAGCACTAAATAGTTTATAAAGTGTGAAAAACAGCCAGCATCTCCTTAAGTAATACAAGCTGTTGTAAGAGCTGGAATGACACCAGAGACATGAAAGCTCGGTAATTACAGACTTACTTGAGGGATGACAGGTCTGAATATGCTTTCATAATCCAGGCAACAAACACATAAAAGTATGTATCCCTGGTTCTTCTAGCCTCTCTTCTCATTATTTGACAATTTCAGGATTTACTGCATTTATTTTAGAAATGAGTGGCTCTGTAAATACCTTGAACAACCTACCAAGCAGATGGCTTCTACCACACCAGCATGTGTGTGGACCATGCCACTGATGGCACGGCAGTACAGACAGAGCACTTACAAATGAGCTGGGTCCGTATTCTGAATTCTGTTGGCACCATTTTTTTTGTAATTCAGAGACAAAATCACCAACATATGTAACCAGTGCCCCACTGAATCAGCTGTGTGTCTGTCTGTCTGCCTCCCAGGAAAGGCAGTTTTAAACTCTCATCACCGGGTCCCTGAAAATTTCTTTGGAGATTGTAATTTCTATCCATGTATCCATGATATAATGATACTGATATTATTTCCAAAAATTAATGTGTTTGATATGTCATACAGGAGATTATTCACAAGACACAGACTTGTCAAGTCTTTGTGTGTATAAATTTTAATTGCCATCCCTCATCTTTGGGACATGGGGCTGTCCCCCTGTGGTGTCCACAGGACCCCTTTCACTGGTGACACAGCCACACACTCTACTGCAAAAGCAAGACCAAACTATCAGTCTCCATGTGCAGGGATCATAGAGCCATAGGAGGCTTTGGGTTGGAAAGGACCTTAAATCTCAACTCCTTCCAACCCATTTAACATGGGCAGGGACACCTTCCACTAAACCAGGGCCCTGTCCAACCTGGCCTTGAGCACTTCCCAGGGGTGTGATCAGTCACAGTGAGGGGTTTCACAGAGTGCTGTGCCTCAAAAGCTGCTTGTCCCAACCCTTAGGTGTCCTTGGTGACCAGCAGTGGCCCAGAGGCAGCCAAATCTCCTTCACAGTGGCCTGTGCTGCTGTTATCCTTGAAACCTCTGCAGTTGCTTTGCCTCCTTTGTGGTTTATCTGTGAATGCTAAAGGGGTGATGCACTGATTAACCAGTGTGTCCAGGGCTTGCCTCCAGTGCTGCCAGACCAGGGCAGCCTTTGGCAGGGCAGAGCCACCCCAAAATCATCTAGAGGCTGTCCAGTGTGGGGCTGCCCATGGGGAAGGGAATGTGTGCTGGTCAGGCAGCAGACTTGGGCTTGGGGTAGAATGGACAGGACACAGAGGGGTTGCTTGGCAGCTCCAGTGAGCAGCACATGCTCTGCCAGGGATGAGGATGCCATCAAGTGGCCAAAGCTTTATATTCACTTCCCACTTGATTTTCATGGTTTTATGTTGTATATATTTATATCATAGATATTTCTATAATTTTGAGTAGTGTTCTGCCCTCTGCTCCCTTTCCACACCAAGTTGCCCATGGCTCTCCCCGACAGCTCCTTCTGGTGGGTGTGTGCTACACAAGAGTTTTGTCCAGGCAAATCCTGGGCTCCAATTTCAAAATTGGTTTAATTGGATGAATAATATAATGAAATATCACCATGCAACTCCAATGTGGGTCTCAGGGCTCTATACCCAGAGAGGGATCAAACTTGGGCACCATGAGGGCAGGATCATGCAGATACACAGCTTGTTGTGAACTCATCAGTTTAATTAATTCATTTTACATTATGCAGGCAGATAACACACCATTTATTTATATTAAAAAACAGACTGCCCAAGTATTATCTCTGGAAATGCATTATATTATCCATCTAAAAAACATGTTTTACATACATGCATAAAAAATAGGCAACGTGGCAATGATGAAACCTTAAATGTAGCCAGGAACAAATACTTGTGTGAAGGTTCATCAGTTTTTTCCATATTGTTTATCAAAAACAGTTCCATGTGTCCTAAAGAAGGTCAAAGGCACTGTGAGCCTTCTCACAGTGAAGTCCTGAGATGAAGCAATACAAGCTGATTCTTCTCCATTTTAAGTTCTGGGAGCACCCTCACTTCTGTTTTTAATCTGGGCCCCAGTGATGAGGAGCCCAAAGAACATGACCCCATTTCCAAGTCTGCTCCAGACACAAAGTTTTAGGCACTTTCTGCTGAGATCTTCAAGTGTTGTGACCAATTCCCCCATTCATCCAGGGAGGAAGATGTAGGAGTTTCTGTTTCCTTCTCATTTTTTGGAGGAGGGCTGGACAACAGCTGTTCCACATTGTCTTCAGAATGCTTTTCTTTGGAGGGACCTGCTGAAACTGCAATCACTGGGCTTTTTCCCCCAGAGCTCTTCTCCAGAGGAAGAGCTGTTCCTCTAGAACATTTCCCAGATGAAGCGTTGTCCTAGGTTATTCTCCATGTCACATGTCCCTCTGCATGGGAGCCCCCTTGGCCTCCCCTGCCAGTGCCACCAAAGTCCTCTTGTCACAGCAAAGCTGGTTCTTCTTGGGCTTTGGCATCAAACACTCCATGCTTAGAAAATAAATCATAAGGATATTAAACAGCATAAAGAGAAATAATCATGATGTAAAAGGTCTTGGAATAATTGAGAGGCTGAGGTAGACCAAAGAGAGACTGGGCCTGCCCCAGTGATCTCAGTGGGATTCCAGCAAAGAGCTGGAGGTCTGAAGTGTACTGTGTCCTAGAGACTTTCTTTGGTGATGGTCTGCTCACCACTACAAAGTGATGTCTGCAGGTTTTGGCAGCTGGCAAATCATGTCAGGGAGCTCAGAAGGTCTGATGAGATACTTCAAGGTGGTCCCTGGAGGGCTGCACCAGGCAAGCTGTGTAAATTAATAGGCAGCCTTCTGTATGAAATGCAGACTTATTTTATTGTTTTCTATATAAAAAAAGCAGCTTAGTCTCTGAATTTAACATCCTTCTGTTTTCCAATTTAATTTATACCTCGGATAGCAGACTGAAGTGGTTGAAGCCTTTACAGTTTTCATGATAATGTGTTAAATTGTGCCAGACTGTTGTAGAACACAAATATTTGTATGGGAAGAGTCACACACTATTTTGAACGTGAAAGCAAGCTGGGATTTGGTGTGAATCCAGACCTTCCCACAGAAAAAGCACCTGTGTACCCACCACATTTCCTCCTTTCCTTGTTCACCAAAGAAGCTGAGTGTTATAGCACTGTGTTGTACAAAAGACCCTCCCTTGGTGATTTGAGGTGAGCTGGGTTTGGGTACATCCCTAGGGAAAGGAAGCAAGTTGTCTCCCTGGTTCAACAGGAAAAATGTCATTGGTGAAGAAGCACACCACCACCATCAGAATTACCAAGGTGTTCTTAGTCAACAGTGAAAGATTTGATATTAAAATAGTCTTTTCTGGTTGAGCTGGTGTGATTTTTGGAGTCCTCCATGGACCACGTGCCCACAGCAGTTGCTGTAGGTGCGGGATGGGAGTCTTTGGTCAGAGCAGCTGAGCCCTCACCAACACCACACTGCTGATCTGGCTCAGGAAAGTAGGTGACTTTCTGGTCTTCTTGGCAACACTCTTGAAATAAAAAAGAGGGAGATTTATGAAGTACTGCAGAAAACAGCAAAGACGGCAAGAAAAATATTGAGTATCTAGCTGCTAAAAAAGTTTCTTTAATCGTATATTTTTAATGCTTCTCCTTTATGCAACTCAAAGTTAATGAGGGAAAGAGTGAAACAGTGGCTTGATAGTCAAGACACCCTGAAAGAGCTTAATTTCATATCTTTGGGGGTGCAAAAAGTGAGGAAAGAATACTGTGCAAGGACTGTATAAAAAAAGGTATTTCAAAAATTATAAAACATTAGAGAATATTAGAGAATTAATTAGAGAATAATATATAGAATAATATAGAGAATTAATTAGAGAATATTCTCCTTTCAAATTTTTATTTCTGATTGATATTGATTAAAATAATCATAACAATGAGAACAGATTACAGTGAAGCTCCAGGAGATGTGGACTGAAACTAAAATCCATTGGCACATTTTCAGTCTGCTCTGAATCCCACAGACCTAAAGTGTGTTTGCTCAGGTGTAGGTACCCATGTAAATCATATGACTTTCAGAGGATCTATATAATTGCAACTCTATCTGATTCAAAGATTAATTCTGTAATTTGAATAAAGCTAGAGGGTCTTTATGTGCTGACCTGGAAGTTAGGGATTGGTCTCAGTTTGGCATCTTTTCATTGCTTTGAGAGAAAGTTCATAGCCAAGAAACATGGCTGCACTTGATGGGAATCCTCGCAGTGTATTGACCATGAGGCCCCTACAAAAGACCTGTTGGGAATGGAGCAAGGTTAGAGCATAGGAATACACTGATTTTTTTAGGAAGAAAATGTTGAATGAAGTCATGATGGGATTCTGAAGAACCAAACCTTTTGGGTTTGCCTGGAAGACACGCTCCCACTGCTGGTCTTAGCTGAGGTCTGCACTGGGGAAGGGGAGCACATCAGAAGTCACTGGTTTGGCATCATTGTGCTCTGCACTCCCTATAGACCCCCATCTGTAGATACCAGCCAGAGGTAAAGAGGTAAAGGGTAAAAACTGGGCTCATGGAACTGGTATAAAACAGAAAGTAAGAAATCTAAAATGTCTTCCTGTGTTGTCCTACGTATCTACAGTCATAGGGTGACAGGACCACAGAGTGCTCTGGGTTGGAAGGGACCTTCAAGTGCACTTTTTTCTGGGCCCTGCCATGGACAGAGACACCTCCCCTAGACCACATTGCTCCAGACCTTGTCCAGCCTGGCCTTCCTTCCTTTGGCATACATAAACATGTGGGAATCATACAAACCCCGGGGTACAAGAAGGAGTTTTAATGCAGGAAATGTTTTGACCCCCAGGGCTGGGTCTGTGGGCACAGAAGATGCTGGCAAGTGGAGAGGGAGCAGTGTGACTGTGAGCCAGCCCAGCTGTGTGGGGACAATTTTTCAGGTTTCACCTTTGAGTGTAGAAGGAATTTTTCAATCAACTGAAAACCAGGCCTCCTCTGTACCTTGCTGAGAACTCTCTCACTACTGCCTTTGGGAAAATTATTTGATAGATGCTCATATTTTCCCATGAGTCTTCCTAAGGTCACACTTCAGTGCCCATATGTAACCCAGAACTTTCTTTAATAAAGAGAATAAATACCAACTTCAAGGTTCCCTTTTTCTGGTCAATATATTTCTTTTTAAAAGATGCTGGCACATACAAGAGCGAATGATTATGTGGCTTTTAAATTCTTGAACAGTAAAGTGCTTTTGAAAAAGCCTTGTCACTCCTGATTCCCGGTCTTGACTTGTCTCCCTTTGAATCCCCTTTGCCACCAGCACCACACCCTGGTGTGTGCAAGACCTGCACAAACTGCTCACTTTGGGGTGAGTCTGCTCACAATATGATGGCTCCAGGGGGTATCTCTGCTGGCCTGTTTCTCACAAAATCGCTCCATTAACCACCAAGGCTCATCACCACAAGTCACTAATCTAAATACCACAAATTCACAACAGATGTGAAAAGGAGCATCAGCAACCAAACCCCTTTCCAGGCTTTATAACAGCAAAGTTCCCACAGCTACTGTAAAAACGATGAAAAATCTTGGCCCTGAGATCAGAAGCCCTTATATTTAAGCACATAACCAATTTTTCCCCTGAAATTACTGAACTGTACTAAACATCATCATATCTTGTGTCCAATAAATCCTAAGTATAGTGCTGACTTGTTTCAGACAGAATCAAAATATGTTCACATAGTTTAGATAAAGCTTTCAATGTGAAATTGAAATGTTTGGACATTTAGAATATTATTTGATTTTTGGGGATATTTTATTTTCTTAGGAAAGAGAAGTTTCTGGGAGGAAATTCAATGTTTTTGCATTATCCATAATGTAACACAAGAGACACAAGTTAAATAATAAAGTATCAGGATGAAAAGTCCAGAGACATAAATTTTTCTTATCAGAATGAACACACCTGGCAATGGAGAAAGACAAGGGCATAGTTGTATTTCTCTGTGTATATCAGGCAGCTATTTCCAGCGCTGAGAATGCTGTTCCTTTGTCCCAGAATGAAAACATCCAGCCCTGGATTTGCCATTTGTTAGTTGTGAGTCTCTCAACATTTAAAAGTATTTTCCCTACGAGAGCAGGATCCAGTCTTGCTATCAACTAATTACTCAATCCTACTGATGGCTTTGGGGCAGATGCCAGATATGACAGCAGAAAAACTGCAAGAAGTATAGAACTCTACAAGAAAACTCTTCTAACTGTTAATTCAAGGAAGGCAGAGGATGAGGATGAGGATGAGGATGAAGATGAAGATGAGGATGAGGATGAGGATGAGGATGAGGATGGAGAGAGAAGGGAAAACCCATGGAAATTCCTGTTTCAGCCACCCTGCTGTGAAAGTGAGCAGCAAGTGGAATGCACAAGGCAGGTACCATAAAGCCTTGGCACTCTGTCCCCCATCTGATTGTCCAAGCACATTCCTCAGCATCTCTCCATGTGCTTATGCTTCACATGAATGTGATTTTCTTCAGTCAGTTGAAAAGCTGAACCAGACCACAGGCTCCCATGACAGCTGGCATAACATAGTGGCATGTTGAACAAACACTGAAATCACATTGACATGTGATTTTGCAGGTTATTTTCCTGTTTGTAACTTGTTACATTTCTCTCAGAATGTGAAAATTAACACTTTGGAGCCAAGACACAACGTGCTGTTCCAATGATAAATACAGATGTATTTCAATATCAGAAGACGTTACTTCCACAACCATGCCTTGGCAACACAATAAAGCTGCAAACCCTTATTCTCTGCCATTCATATTTCACTGAGGCAAAGTTTGCAGGTAGAACAAATACCTTTTATTACTCTTAACAGACAAAGTCAGAAAAGGGAGATAAGTTGTTTGGCATGCAGCCCTTCGTGTTTGAAACTAAAGCAATTCTGATTTAAGAACGCTGACAATCAACTCTATCTTGGTGCAAAATGAGGACGAGGAGTGCAAAAGCAGCATTAATTCCACCAAAGCATTGCCCAAGGTCACCAGGCACACCCAGAGTGCCAGGACAGTCCCCTTGGAATCAGTTCATTGACACCAAAGTCAATGGGAAATATTTGACCTCTGCATTTTGCAGAAGAATCACAGAGGTAAGACTTTCTACCTCTGATTTATGATAAGTCAAATTATATCCATGATTAAGTGCACTAACATGAAATGTTGTTTGAAGTTAATTACACTAGCAGAGTGTGACTCCCAGTCATTCATTTCTTCATTATGTAACATGCATTATTACTCTCATTATTTTGATTTAGAAGGAATCTGCACTATAACTACCAACTGCCATTACAGTAATTTAGCAGTAACTGGCTTTAGCTGTCTCTCAACACGGCAGATAGGTTTCTAACAGACACTGTGTTTTCCAATTGACAATTAAATACCTAATAACCAGATTTAACTTCAAATATCACTTACTTTTAAGCCCTCGTTCTGGTAGCTCTGCAACATGCAGTCAAGGGTCCCTTTGTACTGGTTTAAGTAAACTCCATCTGCCTGAAGTCGACTTTTCACAACATCCATTGGAGTACATACTGCCCAGGAAACAGCTCCTGGAAAAATGCAGAAGTATTTGAATAATTCCTTCTCTATACTTCCTTGCCCGCAGGTCAGTGAACTCAGAAATTCACATCTATCACATATTCATGTGATTTTCATGTCAGGACATTCACACCTCTCTGGCACAGAAACAGCATTACTGGGAGAAAGTTCCCTGTTTCTGGAAGAAGTGTTCAGATTTTGGAGGTTATGCTCCTGATCAGATGCAGGCAACCCAAGAGGGGCTTCTCCAGGTGAAAATCTGCTGTGCTTCTGGTGGGACATGGACATGCCATGGGAAGAGCCTGAGCTGCCACTTGGGATGATATCAGAAAAAATGGAGTCTTCTGATAATTCCATTGTAAAGCAAAGTTTGAGCTGAGGATACAAATAACAGGTAGGTACATCTCAGGCTGCCAGGATGAGGGTCCACACAGTGAGATACCCCGTCATTCCTCTAAAGAAATGCCTATTTCCACTGATCTGAGCTGAGTTTGCCTCTGGAGAGATCAGTACATGCAATCCATGGGCCAGCTGGACAGACAAGAGTTTGTCTGAACCTGTGTGAGTGTTGGGACACACTAGAAAAGCTATCCAGAGGCACCAGGGCCCTCTTTATGTGAAGAGAAATGGAGAAGGCATTTTGTTAGCATTACCTGAGCTAAGGATTGACTTGCCCTTATGGATCTGCAATTTAGAAATGGCCAAAAAGTGGGGAGTGGGAGTAGGGGTGACCTTTCACATGGTGGGGGTTGCACATGCCAATTTTACTGGCAAGTAAAAGATCAGTAACAGTCAACTGGGCTTCTGCTAGGTGTGGGTAGGTGCACACCCTCATGGTGGGCAGCCAACAGGTTGAAGTCCTCTTCTGGAGGCATCTTGGCTTCCACATATCCCTGGCAATGTGATTGGCAGGCTGCCCTGAGGCATCCAGGGAAATGAAAGCACTGTCTGTTCTCCTCTTCACTGACAATGAGCCCAATGAAGGTCTGAGAACCACTTCTATAATGTTTGTCAAGTCATAAAGTGCAGCTGTGGTGCCAGGGAACCCTGCCCTGGGGAAGGAAGGTCGTTCAGTCCCATGTCCTCTGCTGGCGTTCAGGAGGATGCGGTGGCCCTTGAGTCACCCTCGTAATCTGCTGAGAACCTTCCTGTTCTTGTTTTGCCAATGCTGTGAGGAAGTAAAGGTGCTTACCTGCTACACCCCCTGCCACCCAGATAGAGAAGGGATTAGGAGCAATGCTTCCATCAGGAGTTATCCAGTCACAGAACATCGCGTACGGGATGAAATAGGCGCAGTACCCAGGAACATCCCTCAGGAGCATTGCTACGTTGCCTCGGTATACTCCTGCTATCCCCTCTTTCTGTATGATTGTCCTTAGGCAGTGAATTGGGCCTCGGTACACAGGAGATCCGGGAGCTGTGGAATTTAGTTTAACATTTGCTACAAAGGAAAACAAACCACAACTGTTAGAATAGATATATTGGCACAGAACTGCTCTCCAAAGCCCAATGCTGTTGATTAGAAGTCACTGCCATCCAGTTTCCAGGGTTAACAGATAGTATGGGGAAAAAGCTTTAGGAGAGAGTATTTAGGTCCATTTTCAGAAAATATTTAGACACTTCAAGACAGATTTTTCCTTAGATGTATGGCCTACCTCCCAAAAGGTATGTGCCCAGTGAGACATCCAAATAAGCTGAAGGCAATGTGCCAGATTTTCATGGATTTTAACTTCAATTTATGCCAAGTCATATATTTGGAAGCTTTAACATCTCCAGAGTCTGGACCTTCCCATGCAGACCAGGTTGTTTTTGTAAAAGGCATTAGGTTGCTAAGCTTCATGGAGGCTTTAAAAATGGACATAATATTTTATCAGAGCAACAGAAAAATGACAGCATTTCACAGTTAAATGCCATTACTGTAATTGTGAGAAAGGTGAAATGCTGAAATCCAAGTGGTTCAGCTCTGAAGCTGCTCCATGTCTTCTTTAGTCTGTACATGTGCTCTGGTGGGGTCCACTCCATGCTGGCAGCCTGCAATGGAATTCAGCTGCTGTCTAGAGCCCCTTCTGCCTGCAGCTTGTGCACAGGGAGCAGCCACCCACTGCCATCCTCTCGTGTCCCTCCCTGACCCATCCTGCTCACACCTGGGCTATCTGGCACCTTGTGTGAAATAACTCAGCGGTTTTTAAATGTAAATGGGAAACTTCTGGTTTTGAACAAAGGAGGAAGAAGTAACCCAGGTTTATGGGAAAATATATATGAGACTGAGAGCGTGCAGAGGGAGATGGGGAGCTGGCATTGCTGCTGGCAGCCATGGTGCTGCTGCTGGGATCTCCAGGGGACCCCACAGCCCAGGGACTCACAGTTTCTGCAGCTTCTGGTCTTGAGCAGACCTGCCTTATGTTCCTTTAGATTCTGACTGGCTGGAAATGCCTTTGATAAAAACCCTACTCTTGAGCTGAAAAGGATAGGGTCCAACCTCAGGCAAAAGGGGGAATTTTTAGCCCAACTGCAGCAGCATAAGGTAGCAGCAAGCCCGGCCTTGAACAAAGTTGTTGTAAAGCTCTGCGTATGTATCAAGGACTGGCAGAGACAGGAAGAAGAACCTCTTGCTTCCTACCTTTGTTGTATGGCTGTGTTTGCATCTGTAGCCTTATCTTGACCAGTTCCACGGGAGTGCCAATGCCCACAGAGATGACCCCTGCCACGATGCTGGCCAGAGTCATGTCGGTGAGCGACGGCGCGGCGGCCGGGTCCCCGTGGCGGAGCTGGCTGAGGAACCGCTGTGTGTTGCTGAAGACACCGAACACCACGGAGCTGTAGATGCCGATACTGGCCAGTGGGAAGGACATGCCCTTGAAGAAGCCGGTCAGCTACCCAGGAAAGGGAGCAGGGCTTAGAAGACTGAGCAGGACTGAGCAGTGTAAACCCCAGCTTGTCTATCAGGTTAGAAATCACACAATGACACAATGGTTTGGGTTGGAAAGGACTTTGAAAGTCATCTCATTCCAATCCCCTGCCATAGTCAGGGATGAAATGCAAATCCAAGTAGCAGATGTCTTCTGGATCCAACTGTTTGCACATGCTGAGCAAAGGAAATTGGTTCATGCTGCTAAAGGCTTATAAAGATTGTGCAGAATACAGGATATGGTTGAAAGTGCAGGAACCCAAGTAAAAGTGCCTCATACAGCATTTGTTCTGGCTTCACCAAAGTCAGCGAAATCCCTCTGGGAGACCTTTGCCAGTGGGGTCAGGCAAAAGAGTCACTGTGGATGCAACCCATGTGGAGACAATGATCATTCCATGCCAGAGATCTCTCTTTTCCCTACATGAGTCACCAAGTGGGTTACCTTAGAGTTAGGCAAGAGAAGGCTTTTGATTTGCAGGCTCAATTGCATAAACTTTATTGGTCTTTATATAACTGCTGGTGTCAACAGCATTTTCTACAATTGCATTATGTATTTATCTATTTATTGACTTGCACTTTCTACCAGGACATTTAAAGTACAATGAAGTACTTACAGACTCATTTCTGTACACAGTGAGAACACACTTGAATGTATTTCCATATCCTTGTCCAGCTTGCAAACGAGTCTGCAAAAGACATTTGTAAAATGTGATTAAAATCCAATGCTTGCAGCCCAGTGGAGGCTCATGCTATGTAAACAATGTGTACTTTGCTTTGAGTGCAAGTCCTTCCCTAGTCGTAAAGAGAACTGAGCAATAAAATAAGATATACATGCATCCACCCTCTTGAACTTTGCCAGAAGCAAGGCTAAGCAAGATCTCACAGCCTGAAGCTCTCTGCAACATCTGGAATCAATGGCTGTCAAATTGCTCTCCAGTCTGGACCAGGCACCCTGACCCAGCACAGCAGGCTGCTGGTGTGCAGTGCTGTCATTGGCAAGGGCCTGATTTATGTGGAAATTGGAGAGTTGTGTGGTCTTCTCCATTTGGAGACTCTCAGGGAAGGCTGGGATGTGTTGCAGAGAGGAGAGGTGAGCTCCCCTGGGAGACTTCTGGGGCCCTTCTGCTCCACGGTGAATTTTAAGAGATACTAATTGGAGCTAAAATAATTCAGCACTATCTCAGAAATTCTCCATGCTTCACTCAAAAGCACAGTTTCATATAATTTCAAAAAAAGACATTTTATTTCTGGAAAGCAAATTGGTTATACACCTTCTAACAGATGTAATAAATGGCATGTGAGTCACAACAAAGCCTACAGGATTAAGCATTTCTGCTTCTCATATGTATATATTTAGATCATCTTTCATTCAAGCTGCTCACAAGGTTGCACTAGAAACATCCTAACAAGGGATGAATTTTTTGGGCTTAGAGGTGTGCAAGGAAATGGAAACACTGTTCACTTCACAGCACCTCAGGCTTCATCTTGGCCGAGGCCAGAGCTCATTTTTAATAGAAAGACAAACATGTTCCATCAGGAATATTTTTAGGAAATGGGGAAAACAATTCTGACTATATTTATCAGCACTATCAGCATCATTTATCAATGAAGACTGAAGGGACACTGCCAACCTGCACTGGAGGGCTGGTGTCCAATCCCCTCTGCTGGCTCAGCTCTGATTTATGCCAGGGTGAAGCAGGAAATTATTTGGGAATTTAAATCCCAAAGAAATGCATGTCTGCCAGAGTTCACGACTGGTGGGAGCTTTTGGATGGCAAACAGCAGGTTGGATGGCACAATCATTTGGTCCAGAGCTCTGCAACAGGCTGTCAGTGCTGCTGTGGGACCCTGGCAGGAGCAGGAAGGACCGAAGTCTGTGTTCACCCCTCAGCTCTCCCCTCACCCCAGGATGGCTCCATGCAGCTATTTGCACACATGGAGTGTCCCTGCTCCTCTCCAGGCCTGGCCAGAGGCCACAGAGAGGCAGCAGCAAAAGCAGAATGTTTACTGAGCACTCAGAACAAGCTGGTACATGAAGATGCTGCCATGGCTCACACAGCACATGTTGTGCAATGTGGGCAGGCCATGGGTGCAGACTGGGCACACCGTGACTCACACTGGGGATAACGGGACAGGGGAAGGTGGCTGGACCCCGAATGACCCAGGACAAGGTGACCCCAGTGCCCAGCCCTGAGTTCCCTCCTGGCTTCAGTTTAGCCCAGACATTTCCACTTTGACTTCATGGGCTTGTTTGTTTGTTTTTTTTTCTTTTACCCAGTAACCAGGTATTTAGAGATTCAAGTTAATATATTTTTTGAGTAACTGGGGGCAGCTGAGTGTCCTCACAATCTGGTTGTCACACACATGTCCCTTAGCTAATCTGTTAACACCTAGCACTGAAATCCCTGCTGGCATCTGTGACAAAGTCAGCTACTACCAGTATGGATATACCTCTGGAAAGTTCTCCTTTTTGTTATGTCTTGATTAGATAGGACTCTTGGGTGACACCCAGAAGCTGAAGAAAGTTCTGGGGAAATGAATGCAATGGGTAGGATGAAAAGTAAAGTAAAGGCACAACTTTTAGAGTTTTGCCAGGAGGTAGGAAAAAACAGCTGCTGGAGTTTGATGGAAGCTGCAACAATGGAAAGAGATGGCTGAAGGGGGCTGGCTTGATGGGATCTGTGGTGTAGATGCCACTTACCCCACAGAGCCTTATACTCAGTTCTGCCTCCTCCCCCAGATGGGGAAAGCCTCCTGATCCCCTGGAGGCTGCAGACGCTGCTGAGCAGCCCCTTTGCTGGCCTAGTGCTGTGCAAAAGCTCTTTTCCACTTTCCTGTTCCTGAATCTGGAACATAACAAGTCTGCCTACTTGGTATTCCCAAGGCAAAACCTTGCCCAAAGCCAAGAGCAACAGAGGGGGCAGCCTGACAGTTGTCATTATAACCAATGAAGGATGGGCTTGCTCTTTCTTGGCATCCAGTAACTCGATGTTTCCAAGCAGGATTCTCATAGCCAAACTCCCCCAAACCAGGCAGTGATGCCATGACCACCAGCCTGAGACAGGGATTGCCTTGGCAGCACTGGGCAGAGCCTGCCTTTGCTGCCTGTGTTCTGCCCATGGCTGGGTGGTGTGGGCAGCCTTGTGCTCCTCCCATGTGGGGTCTGCACCCACCTTTGCACAGGGATGCCCTTGGAACTGGCATCACTTTAGCAGCTCAGAAAGAAAAGGGCTGGCCAGGCATCTCCCGATGCCAAGAGAGCCTGGTATCTGCAAGGGGATGGCTGTGATGGCTGGGGAAGGGATGTGGTGTGGGCCACGCTGGGCCCTGCATCCTTGGCATCACCCTCCAAAGGTCTTGAAGGTGCCAACATCACCAGTGGCTTTTGGGTTTGCCACAACTGGCAGCCCTGCCTGTTGCCAGAGCCAGGCTTGAACCAGAGCAGAAACAGAGTCACAGGAGAACAGCTTGAGCTGGAAGGGGTCTTTTAAGGTCATTTAGTTCAGCCTCCCTGCAGTGAGCAGGGACATCTCCAACTAGACCAGGTTGCTCAGAGCCCCATCCATCCTGCCCTTGAATGTTTCCAGAGATGATGGGCATCACCACATCTCTCTGAGCAGCCTGTGCCTGTGTTTTACCACGTTTTTTGTACAAGACTTCCTTGTATCTAATCTAACCCTGCTCTCTTTCTGTTTAAAACCAGAATCCCTTGTCCTATCACAATGGGTCCTGCTAAAAATTCTGTCTTTATTTTAGGCCCCCTTCAAGTACAAGAAGGCTAAAATAAGATTTCTTTGGAACCTCCTATTCTTCAGGCTGAACAATCCCAACAAGGGCAGAGAAGCTAAAGTGATGAAAGCTGCCCAGAAATGCCTGGGCAAAAAAAGAAAGGAATAGGATCCTCCTCTCTGTCTCTGCATCATTAGGGGTGGTCAGTTTGGTTGATGTACTGGTGTGTGCATGGGCTTGTCTGCATCATGCTGACAAATACCTTCTTGCTTCTCTAAATCCTTCCGTTGGGAGGAATAATTATCAGGTGGGAATTATAAACACTGTGTGTCACAGCCCTGGGATAACAATTTCAGCACTCTGCCCTTCCAACGTTACCAGCACTAGGAAAACATAAAAATGTGCCTGCAGCAAAACAAATACAGTTCCTTCATTGCCCTTTGAATACTAGTCTGTGGCAAAGTTCAATAAAACATTGGCAGAATTGTTCAGCGAACCACACATTAAGTAAGGACAGGTTAATTTTCAGCATTAATTCTCCACAGAGGAACTGACACGTATCAGTCAGTTCTTTCAGTTTCTCATTCAAAATGAGCATTGGAGAGGAAGAAAGTCTGTGAAAACATTCCAAATTCCCCTTTGGGATAAGTGAAGGTCCTTTGAAGCATCAGCTAGAGAGAAGGTCTGAACTGGTGGAGGTTTGGGTGGTGACATATGAGCACAGTTCGAAGTGTTTTACCTTGACCGTGTCCAGGGGATGGCCTGCAACCACACTGGCAATTCCTGGGGATGAAAGCAAAGTATTATGCAAAACACTGAAGCTTTTGTAGCAGGGCAGGATGCAATGGGTTTGGAGAAGAGATTTCCATAGGAACAGTTGTAAGGGGCCTAGCCAGAGTAATGATCAGCATGATGCCCTGTGCCTGACAACAGCTAAAAGCTGAGCTTAAACACTTTTCTGTGTACACTGTCCTGGCCTCCTTCAGCTTTACATCTCAAAGGCACCAGAGATGGAGATGTCATGTTTGTATATCCTGTCCAGGACCAACCCCTTTTGCACTCCTGTAATCTCACACAAATTTTTAGCCTCGGGATGGTGAGATTCCTGTTCAACACACGGCAATGTTTTCTCCTGGCTCAGAGTGATGTCCTAGCTGACTGCTAATGGGACCTGTAAACTCCTCATCCTTTGCTGTTCTGAGAGCAGTTTATAGAGGTACCTGTCAGAGAGGATTCAGATACAGAGGATCCTGCTCTGTATAGATCTCTCCAGTGCCATCCTGCCTTCATCTCCACGGTTTTCTGGGGAGAAATTGGCCCACGTTCTCTTACCATTCACCCACCCACTCACACTGCTCACTGCCAGGAGCTCTCATGGCATACAGAGCACAGTTTGGTTTCCCTCTTCTCCAGGAGAATGGAACACCTGTGTGCCATGGCCAGGATATGGTTTTGTGTGTTTGTTGCAAAAAACACTGGCAAGTTTTAAGGTTTGTTGGGAGTTGGTAAATTTTGGTGCTCCCTCACCAGCAAATCTCTGTGCAAACCAGTGCCCACAGGGGGACTAAAGTAATTTCTCACTCATAGTGAGAAATAGTCTTTTCAGTACTCTTTATACTGAAAGAACAGTATGTCCTTGGTCATCATATTATGACTTTTCTAAAAATATGTTGTAAAATGTCCCCTCTCCTCCAGGATCCAGGACCACCCATGGTCTAGTGTGTGCATGAAAACTCTCAGCTGCCCCTGCTGCTGAGTGCTGCTGGCTGTTCACCTCCCAGGACATCCTGTCCACACTGCCAGGGGTGTGCAGCAACAGCACAGGGTGGTGGGGCAGAGGGAGCAACCACAGCCTACAGAGATACAAAAATCAGCTCCTCAAGCAAACTTTTGGCAGAGGTTTTGGGTTTTTTAGTCTGCTAACTTATTAACCGCATCTGGCAGACACCTGTGAGCCACCTCACACCCAGCTCCTGTGTTGGGTCTGAAGGGTCACCTGAGCAGAGGTTTGCTCTTCTGGTGCCACAGTGGCCCCTCTGTCCTGCTGCAGCCCTGGGGCAGCAGAGCTGGTCACCCTCTCAGCTGGCAAACCCAGTGGGCATCTCTCAGTTCTGTAAACCCTGTGCCGTTACTGACTCCTCTGTGTGTCTTTTGGCTTCCTTTTCTTTCTGTTACCCGTTTCCCGGTGTTTGCCAGCGGAATTCCCAGCAGACAGGATCAATCCCTGCCCTGGCGGCGGTGGGAGCCCGGCAGTGTCTCTCCCGGGGATGGGGACATGGGGACAGCTGCCAGTCCCCGTCCGAGCCCGGCGGTGCTTCCAGCCACGGGGACAAGGATGGGAGAGCCGGCGGGAGCTGGTGGCGTGCGGGCTGGAAGTTGTTCTAGACTTGAAATTTAACTATTCCGCCCGTGGAAATTAAACCGCACTTGCTAACCAAAGCAAAGCAAACTATGGGAGACGCCGGGCGGAGGCACAGACCGTGGGTGACCCGGAGAGTTTTTGTCCCCGGGCACCTCCGCCGTGCGCCCTTCGCCGCCTCCCCACCCGCTCTCACGGCATCACTCACCGCCCACCAAGCCCGCCACGAAGTCCTGCACCTGGACGCTTCCCATGGTGCTGCCGAGCCCGTCCCGCGGGGCTGGGCTGGGGCCCCGGCGGGCAGGGGCTCCCCGCGGCTCCGTGCGCTCCGGCCCGCGGCTTCCAAGCGCTGTGACATCACACACCGCAGCTTAAAGGCACCACGGGGAGCGGAGACACCGCCCGGCGGGGCGGGGAGCGGGCCACGGGGGCCTGTGCATCGTCCCGGGGCTGTGCATCATCCCGGGGCTGTGCATCGTCCCGGGGCTGTGCATCGTCCCGGGGCTGCGGATCATCCCGGGGCTTGTGCATCATCCCGGGGCTGTGCATCGTCCCGGGGCTTGTGCATCATCCCGGGGTTGTGCATCGTCCCGGGGCTGCACATCGTCCCGGGGCTGCGCATCGTCCCGGGGCTGTGCATCATCCCGGGGCTGTGCATCGTCCCGGGGCTGCGCATCGTCCCGGGGCTGCGGGTCATCCCGGGGCTGTGCATCATCCCGGGGCTGCGGCACCGAGCAGCGGCAGCAACAGCATCAGCGTCAGCGAGGGGAAAATACAGGCATGTGGGGAAGATCATGTGCGAATTGGAGATGTAAGTACAGAGATAAAGATTATTACACCCTTAATGAGTTGAGAAATACCTCTGCTCCCTTGCCACATTGAAATGACTGCGTCGTCGTTTGAGGAGATACTCCCAATTTCTGTATAATCTTTCCAGGAGATAACTCCAATTTCTGTATTTTAGAAACCAATGAACAATTGCCCCCCTGAGCCAACAATTTTTTTATACATCTGTTACATGCTTCTCCCTCTGTCCTGTCTTTTCCAGGGTCAAGATTCCAGATCTGGTTTATTCTGTTTCCATGCAAGACATTCCTTTTCACCCTCCTCAATCATTTTTGTTTAAAGTCTTTCAACTGTGCAGCCAGAACCACAAGTGATAGGAAAGAACCACTCAGCAGAATAAAGGTATTTTCTGTTTTGATCTCAATCCCTTTTCTGGGAATTCCTAACATGCCTTGCTGACTGGGCCTGAAGGCTGGGCTCTCTCTCTTGAAATATGAATACCTGAACTTGAGCCCAACCTGGCTGTTGTGTCTCCTCTGTGGCACTTTCAAATAATAAATCTAAAGTCTTACACCTGAACAGCACCTGGCCACTCAATGCAGGACCCCCTTATGATCCTCAATCATGAGTCTTGACTCTCCTTGTACTCACCAACTCCATTAGAAATGTCCTCTTGCACTTCAGGGGCATGATTGCTCTGAAAAAGATGTCTTGGCCATTGGCCACTGTACACATACATCTGGATGAGGTTTATTCTATTTCCAAAGCAAATTTTATTCTGTCTAGGCTAGATTTCTGTAGGTGGCAGTTCCTTGGGTCAATTTTGGAGGCTTTCTGACAAGACTGGCATCAGGTTTGTTACATTGCCTTCCTTAAATGCAAGATTGGATTTTCTTGAAATGTATTCTGTCTACATGTTCTGGTAACTACAGAAAACGTTGGTAGCTCATGAGCAAGAAATCCTGAATGCCAAAATACTGGCTGAAAATTTAAATATTTAATTCTTCCCTTAAGAAGTTGGTATTTCCATTGCTAAATTAATATATTTTTAATATATTTATATTTATATTTATATTTATATTTATATTTATATTTATATTTATATTTATATTTATATTTATATCCATATTCATATTTACATTTATATTTATATTTATATTTTATTATTATATATTTTATATATTTTTATTTTTATTTTTTAAGGCCACAAAAAGGCCTTAAAACAATGTTCCCTTATGTGCATGCACATATACACAGGAAACCTTATCACCGAGTTGGCTGAAGGGGGCTTTTGTCTAGAAATTGCTTATAGAAATTTAATATTGTGCACATGGTTATCAGCTCAGATAATCTACACCTGAAACTTTAGATTTTTTCAATGCATGTAACAATGCTCATTCTTCATGAGGAAGGTTTTCCTCAAGCACCAGGTCTCTAATAGATTTTGAGGGGGACTGTGGTCCTGGATAAATGTTGGAGAGAACATGTGTGCACAAGTACTGTGGAAACTTGTCAGTTATTTGTTTTCTCAAACTTGCTTTCTTCTATGTAGAGGAAACATTATTCCACATATACACTAACACAGAAAAAGGGTTTTGTCCTCATTTTTCATGCGGGCTTTCTTGCAAAACCAGAAGAAAAGCTGAATGAGGTAATTATTCAGATAGCAGCATTAATCATTAATCACATGAATTCTCTTTAACTGGGAGTAACATATTTCCATGCCAGATTCAGAACATCTGCTAACTCAGGGAGAATACTGGACATGGTCTTTGTGCAACACTGAACCTGGAGCTGAAACCACGTTATGGAGAGTTTAAACAGCTCCTGGCCTAGAGGAGGGAGGCTGGGACAGACTGAGTGGACATGCCCTTGCAGCTGTCCCAAGGGGTGCAGGACGCTCGAGGCTCCTGCTGACAGCAGTGCCCTCACACCCAGTGTGGGCTGGGAGCTGTGTGCAAGCCTGGACAGTCAGTGTTTGCTCAGCCCCTCAATGCCCTGCTCCTCGGTGGTTTGTGAGGGGTTGTTTGTCCCTGAAGCACAGTGGCTGCCACTCAGAAAGGGTTCATCCCTAGTGCCAGCTATGGACTGGGAACAGGGGAGCCACTCCAGGCTGAGGCAGCTCTCTGGTTATCACTGGTGAACTGTGCTGCAGCTTCTGCTGCTGCTTTAGGCAGCCTGGCCTTGTGGAAGGTGTCCCTGCCCACGGCAGGCAGGCTGGAACTGGATGAGTTTTAATGTTCCATCCAACCCAAACTGTTCCAGGATTCTATGATTCTGTGATTTTTACCAAACTGGACTGAGCTGGTACCACTAAAGCAAAGCTGCTTTTGGCCAGTGGCACTGGCAGGAGCATCTTTGCTCTCAGAAGTACCTTCCAGCATGCTGCCACATCCTGCCCATGGGCTGAGAAGCTCGGGGCTTCTCTCCACCTGCTGCTGTCAAATACAGCTCTGTTTGTTGAGACACACACCCCCATCTCCCAGCTGGCAGGACTTCTCCTGATACTGGTTACAGGCAGCAGAGACCTATGGAAAACTGGGAAGAGATCCATCCTTTCTGCTGCTCTGAGTCCCAGCCTGGGCTTGTAGCCACTCTCAAGTGCTGGTCAGAGGGGGATTAAGTGTGGTTTTGATTAGGGATGAGGAATTCTCTTCCCCCTGCCAAGAGGGGGAACAGGGAGATTGTGTCATCCTGAACACTCTGGATTCTGCCTCCTTCTCAACCACAGTCCCCTTTTTTTTTTTTTTTTTTCCTACAGTACCACTCTCTTTTGACCAGCTTACATAGTTTCCACACCAGGTTTAAAATGCTACCAATAAAAAGGGAGGAATTTCCCATGTCTTACCTGGAGCTGTGTATTTTTGCTGGGAGAACATTGCAGTGAAAGAATTGGGACAGACTCAGGAACTTGTGGTAGATTCACAGTTAACTGCTCTGGGAATTAAAGAATCAACTCAGCAAGGACAGAGTATGTTAGAGATAGAAAGGAGTTATTAATTTTGTATCCATCTGTAAACGATTTCTGGGCTAGGATGCATTTAGCTGTAAATTCATTTTCATTTTCATTAAATATTCCCTTTAAATTCCTTTAAAATATTAACCTGTCAGTAACAAATAATGGCTTAAGCTGCTGGACAAGGTACAAGTAAAATGACATTAAACCTCACTGCTGCAGCCAGAGTCACTGGTACCAGATTTATAGTGCTTGGTGTCTCTTTGAGGGGCTGAGTTGCATGAGCAGAGCCCAGTAAATTAAAAAGCAGTGTACAAACAGTCTGAAGCAATGTATAAGTGGTGATAGGAGGACAACTTTATGGCTAGAGCGACCAGACAGATGCAGGCTGTGGGAAGACATGTCAGGGGGCACATAGCAGAAATAGTTTTTCCCTCCAGAAGCTACCAAACAAGCCTGTTTCTGTAGGCAGCAGAACATGAGAGCTTGCTCTGAAAGCATGTGCATGGCAGATGAATTAGAGGCTACAAACACACCAGAAACAGGCATGGAGGGTCCTACTGTGAACAGCTGAAAAGCTCTTCTCTGCCCTTACTTGCCCAGGACCTGGGTAGGGTTTACTGGAGGAGAAGCATTCCAGGAAGAACTTGGCAGTGAAAGGAATCCTCTGGTCTTTTCATCATCTGTATCTATATAATCCATATCATAGACCATATCATATCATCTCTCTATCCATTTTTTTTTAGGGAACTCTTCTGATGAATGCCTGAAGTAGCTGGTATCCCATGAGAAGATCTCTCTGCAGATCTACAGGCAAGACCCAGCTGATGTAGTTCCATGGTGCTGCACAGACCTGGGACCAGCTGCCCTCAGCCTCCAGCACCAGGTATCTAACCTATCTAACCTATCTAACATATGTAACATATCCCCCAGATCCCAGCCTGGCTGAGCACCAGCCAACAGTCAGGGCAGACATTCCATGAGCAGCTCTCAAACACCATCCAACGCCTTTTCTTGAGAGCAGTGAGCAGCCCTGTCCACTGCACCGAGCTCCTCCTCTGCCACAGGTTCTGGAGAGCAGGAGAAGCAGAAGTATCTGGAGCTGGGTGAGCTGCAGCCACACTCCCAGCCAGGCAAGGCTGACTGTCCCACAAACTCAGGAGGTTTTGGCTGAGATGAGCTAGCTCAGCAGGACGTGCTTGAAGCTGAGAGCAGAGCAGTGCTGTAAAAGCCAGCTGCAGTATGGCAGCAAAGGTGTTCTCTGGCAGGGGGAGACAGCCAGCTGTCAGTCATGCTCCCTGCTCTCATTGCCTGGGTTCATTTTCCACACAGCAGCTATTGATAAAGCCTGGAAAGAGCAGGAAGTTTTCCCGGCAGAAGCAGCTGGGCAGGCAACATGTGGTTGTAAATGAGTGGAGCACTTTGCCCCAAGTCATGAACAGGTTTCCCTGTTTCCCTGTTTCAGCCCCACCATACTTCATGGTCAGGTCATAGAACCACAGAATGGTTTGG